TACGCCATTTGTTCCTTCAGGATCCTGGAGCCTATGTGCACCATTGGTTTGAAATCAGGGTTTTCCTACTCCTATAGGTGGATTCTCTATATTCACCAATCCGGTAAAAGACGGATATTTGCATTTCGTACTCTCAATTTCGTAAACAACACTCTCGACACGAGAAGACAGAGAGTAGGACTTCTCTGACAGTGACCGTATATATGTGGCTATTTGAGAGCATTTCCAGAAGTAGTGCAAACTCTTCCTGCCCTCGGCCGTACCAAGGTAATTGGTGTAATCTAATTACATTTGCACTTCAACTAAAGAGGTTTGATTTGAATAAAATGTTGAATAAATACAAAGTGAGTAATATTAATCTATGGGAGATACGATATAATATGGATAGAATGGGAATTAAGATAATATATCGATTTAATTAGCTTGAATGATCACTGTGAAAGCTGAATTGACAGATTTGATTTGTAGGAAAATATGAACAGGAGAACAGTGCTTATTAGTGTTTTCTGATTAATTAATTTATTGAAAATTATTTCTTCAGAATTTTCCAATTAGTAGCATTATGGTTTATGAATATAATTTGCTCATTTTGGAAAGTTTTTTTTGTTTCCTGTTACTACTTATATCAATATTTCCCAATATTTCTCTTTTAAGTGGATAGTTTTCTATCGTTTAACTGTTGTAAAATACACTGGTTGATCGCCTGTCATTACAGGATGATACTATTCATCGTCGAGGTGAATGTCTAGAAATCGATGATGAAAATTCTAAAGTTCGAACTTTCTGAATGTACATTGGAACAACAATGGACGTTCAACAGAAAACTATATCTACTAACTGTGGATAAAAATGTACAGTTGTGATATCTTAAAACAAATCATGTTACTATCAACTTTTTATAATGTTTGCAGTTCAATTTAACGTGTATGTGTGTACTAGTGATGTCTTTCATTAGATAATGTTTTGTTGATTTATTAATTAATTAATATTAAGGTAAATGTTTGTAAACTCATTTTTATTGACAAATGACAAATCAGAAGGGTTTTTGTGGATATTATGGTAATTTCAATGGTTTAGATCATAAGTCAATAGAATCTAGACCATCATGAAAAACCTAAAAGCACTTGGTAGCCGTTTCGTTCTATTGTGTTACTCCTCAGAAGTGCACATCCACAATGACAAAATGACAAATCATTACGACTTTTAGAAACTTTGTTATAATCTGTAATTAGAGATCATTGATATACATATATGTGTTGGTAACGGTCACCAAATTTACTCAAAAATATTTCTGTTTGGAATACATGCCTCTCTATCCTGATGATTAGTCTTTCATATTATACAACAGCTATATTGTCAAAGATACATATGACAAATTTTATAAACATACAATACACAAATTATTTCTTTATATTTTATATTTATAATTTTGTAAAATTATGACTTGGCTTTATCATGGATATCTAATTTTACTTTAATTTTAATATGAACTCAACTATTCAATGTTCAATTAATTGTATCACGAAATAATAAGACATGATACGGTCACCTCCTTCCCTCCCTCCTACTTTCTGTCTCCCCCTCCCCCCACTCCCTTCTCTCTCTCTCTCTCTTATATATATATATATATATATATATATATATATATATATATGGCAGAAAATTTTACATTATTTTATTCCTAATGTGAAAGTGAGTGTAGATGAATTTGTCTTTCAAATTGAAATTTTGAATTCTTATTTAATAGTAAAGAAATGATGGTCTACGACAATTATTGTCTTAGAATATCTCATTATTTCATTATGCAAGTAAATTTCTTTACGGTCTATTGCAGGAATCCTTTAGTTGTTTGTTTTTCTTTAGAGAAATAATTTGATAGTTTTCTTATCCCAAGTTCTGAATTGATATCTATATATGGAGTGAGTTTTAACCAGTCAAAGATTACAATGGGAAAATGATTGATTAGCTTGTAATAATAACATATTTTGATAATAATAATAATAATTACAGGATTTATGCCAGTTTACAGGCATGATCAGTTTGATACAGATAGTAATATTAAGTGTACGGAACCGATATGTGACATAAGACTGTTTGAAATTGTCTAATATAAAAATTGTTTAGGTAGTATATTTCTGGGAACTTTTCAGTATCTTTAAGTTAACATCTTATTGTGTTGACTTACCCGACGTCTGAAACAATTTTTCCGTAAGATAATTCAGGTTACATTGCAACATAAATCTACTTACTTATTTAATAAGCTGGCGATATGTAATCGGACGACGACATTTTGTCCTAAATCACAACAGTCGTAAAATGATTGGATTTTCTAAGATCCATCTTCAAAATGTGATGAAATAGTTTACAGGAATAAGTCTAGACAAAATGCTGCACTGAAAAGGACATATTCAGATACTAAGTAGATGTATCGAAGTGAATTACATATATCGCTTTCTCGAAATCCATTTTACGGATGTTTCGAATAGCTTCGCTTTTATCTTCAGTGATTATCTACTTTGACGTCTTTGGGACTTAAACATTGAATATTGTGCCATAAACTTCACACTGTACTAGTTTCAAAATAATTGACTTTCATATTGAAAAAAACTTGTTAATTTCAAAATGCTAAAATAGCATGCTTTTACTTTAACTAGTACCGCCGCCAATTAAAGATTCCTGTAATAATAAATTAAAGCACATTTCGGAATCTTTTTAAAGTATGAATAACCAAGATAAAAACAAATCAAAGTGAAGATTTAAAATTTTATGTTTTCTTCCTTATACCTAAATGAGTAGCGGAATTTTTTTTATTATTATGAAGTAATCATCGTCCTCAATCAACAGCAGAATGAGCTACAATTAAACTGCCACTACATACACAAACTGTCTAGACAGAACCGACAAAGTCTAGAGGAAATGTAACAGAATGATGGGAATATGACAACAACACGTTCCTAATCCTGGTATACCCACACTAGAAGTAACATACATATCATTGTTTAGTAAAGAGTGTATGATAAATATGGACACTCAAATAGAAGATATATTCATTTGGAGTCAGAAGAAAGAAACAAACACTTCAAACAGAAACAGATTCAGTTGCATCAACTATCGGCTGCAAAATCCACTATTTATACATCAATACTGGTTACTAGTGATCATGAAGGGTTGAATTAATCTAACATTTCATTATTTGTAAGAACTGATTCAGTGTTGTGGAATAATTATTTCAGACTTACTCAATTTCCGAGAGCATCAAATGTTGAAAAATTTATTCCTTCAAGCCCCACAAAGTTGGCGGCTTGGTTGAAAATCTGGAATATCTGTTCCTGTCATCTAGATATTTCAACAGGTTATCTATTTTGTTTGTTTTCATACATCGTTATTTCTATTAATCGCATCACCTATTCAGGTCCGTTTCTGAAAAGTGTACAACATTTCGTTGTACATGTTACAGAGGCCAAAATAGAGATATCATGGTCGTTGACAATATGCAACGAAAAGAATGTACATTATTCAGATATTCATTTACAGGACTGCTAACATCTAACTGGTGATCACTCAATATTTATCGTCAGTATCAACCAAAAAGTAAAAAACGGTAACTTGTTGAAATACTTTGTGCTGAGAATTCTATATTGTAACAAAAATATAATATTGAATAACGATTATATTAATAAATAAAATAGCAGATATTTTGAACAAAACATTGACAAATATAACTTTATTAAAGGCTTCGTAATTATAACAGTTGAACCGAATTACTTAAAGCTAGCATAATATGCTTGTAGGAAAATCTTGTTATTGTTGTCAAATAATGGTCATTCTAGCTGTTTATTATTCGGCAAGTAAAAATTGTAAACCGACATTTCTTTATGAAACAACGATCGAGTCTACCAGGCAATTATACGTTTGAAGATATATCTTCAACATAAGTTCGTCATTTCATTCATTGATATTTAGTCAGTCGTTTAACATTTCCACTGTGCCGATCAGCGCAATGGAAGCTACTATGCACGTGGTACACATACACAGCGTATATCTCAACAGATTCTCGATTCCATTTTGTTGCCACCATCTCAGCGCGTTCATTTCTTATCATTTTAGTCATGACAACTGAGCTGTCAAGAGTTAATGTTTTTTGAAGACCACATTCAACCAGTTAGCATCGAACATAGAGCACATGACGCTGAGTTATCTAGACTAATGGCCAAATCGAAACCTGATCGGTAGGATTCGATCAGCACCAAAAACCAAACAAGTATAATATCGGTTACAACATTATGGTTAATCTCTGTAAGTAACAGAGAATGGATATTGTTATAATAGATTTATTTTTTATTGATTTATTTGAACACATAAATATTGGTACAAAGGGGCACCGAATACACATATGTTTCATGCACGTCACTTGATTTGTGTGTGAGCTGTAATACAATCCGGGTGACCAGACTGAAACTGGTGGTTTACTTAGAGGGCCATGTCCGAAGCCTCCGACCTACAGGTCTGATCCACAAGGCGGTGGAGCAACATGAGAAAATGCATTCCTATGGTGGGCGGTGTCCAATAAGTGGTTCATACGTTATATGTTCCTTCAGGATCCTGAAGCCTATGTGCACCATTGGTTTAGAGTCATGGTTTCCCAACTCACGCAGATGGATTCTACATATCCACCAACCCGGTTAAGGCGCTGGACATCCACTTTTCGTCCTCTCAATTTCGTAAGCAACACCCTCGACGAGAGGACACCGTGGGTAGGTCTTCCTTGACATTGGCTGTACACGCTTAACCACGTGAGAGCATTTCGAGAGGTAGAGCTAATTCTCCTCAACCACGAACGTACCAGGGCATTTGCGGACATCAATTTCAAGTATATCAGTGAACAGTGTGGAAAGACTGAATCATTAGTATAAAGCAAAAACCGACCTGACAATCATGTAACTACGTTAAATCATCGAATGCACCCAGCCCCGTACAATTGAAAAAGTCTCGAGAAAAGTCAGTTATAAAATAATTAATTCGAGAGAAAACGAAATATGTAAAACAAAACTTAAGATCATGGTCACATTGTTTCATAACGATTTTGGTTACTCTAGAGAAGTTTATAAAATAACTCAAAAGAATAATGACTATCATCAAGGGAAATTCACGTCTCAACTCTCAATAGGCACTTACATACAGTTTGTTTTAATGGATAAAGAATAAAATGAAATAAATTAATTTGATACATAAAACAACAACAAGGGTAATACAATCATTTCTCCATGTTTATATATATATATATATATACATATATATGTATCTGAAATGAACGTGAAAGATGATTGTGCAACAGCCTCATAATTCATAGGATGGGAAAAATAGTTGTGAACGGAAACAAAAGAGTTTTGTAATGAAAAATAGACTAAAATACACTTTGAAAACAAACCATCGTTCTATGGAATAACAACCATAAAGTTGAGGGGTAGATAACAAGTAAACAAAATATTGAGCATTGTTTATTCATACATTCAATTACATATCATTAATCTTATTAATGAGAAATAACCAAACACCATGAGAAAGGCACATTAGTGAATATAAAAAAAATTGAACTCAAACTGGTGATCTATCTTGGCTGTTTGTTTGTTCATTTTATTGATTGTAATTCTTCACATATTCATATAAATATTACATAATTGTTATCACAGATAAACAAATTTGTAAAAAAATGAGAATGATATGTTATCACTAGTAGACTTAACCAATTTACACATCGGATCTTGAAAACACACAAAAAAAAACAAAAAATAAATTGGTAGCATAATACAATATTTGTGTACTTTCCATTCTATTCACAAAACATTTGTTCAAACAGATTGTACATCTACTAAGGAAAGACATGTTAATAGATATATATACACATTAAGTAGTTGAACACGAAATAAGAGATTGGTAATTATTCCAATGTGTTCAGTCAATATTAAAATCGATTAAAATCTTTAGCGGTTGGCATATACGGTTTGCGATTAAATTTCCATTGTTGCTTTAACGATCCAGTACATGAGGTAAGGTGAACACTGGATTTTTCAATATTGATCTCTAAACATTGTCCTTGATGACGAATAGTATCGTCCTGTAAAGTAGAAAGTAGTTTAAGAAAAATCTCCGTTTGAATAAACAATCTATTGGATTTAGCTTATTTTCAATTATAATTCAACAGTAATTCAACATTTTGTATTGTAGTGGACAGTCTTTTTTAAAAACAATTATTAAACAATTGATCATTACTAGAAAATAAGTAGCGTACTATTGAGGTCAACAGTGATTCAGATGGGAACAAATATAGAATTACAGAATATTTTCCTAAAATATGAAAACCATACATTGAATGCTTCATTTGGACATCATCCATCAATTGTCCCCTACATCCCTCATGATTCTTCCAATTCATAATTCCTTTAAGTTTACCTTTCTGTTTTATTCAGCTCAACCTTCATTTCGCAGGCATTCCACTTCTGTCGGTCTTACATACTACTTATGTCTGTCATCATAATTAGCAAACAACGCACTATGTTGTCTACTCTTTACTTTAGATCAAACGATAACTATAAGCTTCGCAGTTCAACCCACAAGTTTAATGTATTACCGCACTGTGTTGAAAAATTTCAATTTTCTGGTACTCATCAACAAATCATATTTACAGTGAAGAATAAACCGACACTAATGGACGCAACAATCACATACAGACCAATCAATTGATTCAACTCTTTGATTCACAGAAATCAAATAAATATAATAATTGATTTCATGAGTCGATATAAGGTAGACTACAATTAAAAACGTCGAAGAACTGGACGGGTGTTTCGTCCTGGTAAGGGACTCCTCAGCAGTGCGCATCTACGATCCACATGTGGGACTCGAACCCAGGACATCTGGTCTCGCGCGTGAACGCTTAACAATAGGAAGTACTGTTGATTGTCTACCTCATCTGGAATCTCGCAAATGATGGTTAGCAACATTGAGTCACATATTATTATCCCTGGCTAATGAGGAACTTGTAATGGTCATGTAAGTAGGTTGTTGTTATATCCCAACTACAATTATGAATGGTAACTTTTGAGAACTATTTATCGACCAATACGATACATGTATTTTTACTGTATAATTGTTAAGCAGCTAAACTATGCATATTCATGTTACTGATATTATAAGCTATGTTTTGACAAATAGACTATTATTATACGAGTTATGCTAAGTACATTAACTACAGTCTCCCACATTCACAGATACTTTTGGCTTCATCTTGTACAAATGTCGTTTTCCAATTTATGCTGTGTTTGGTTTGTATATAAACCCAGTATGTTTGTAAAAAAAGATTCATATCGCAGAGGCTAAGATTGGTGTTCTGGACTTAACAGGCAGGGCTAGGCAGGAAGATGGACCGATAAGCATTCTAGACTGCTCGCACAGATTTACGCGTCATTGGTGCGGCTGACTAATCACTGTTCTCCAATTGGCGGTATCATCACGTCATATATTAATAAGGCACAAGACCACAAGTTATAACAACTATTTTGTGGCTATTTGTATTAGTTGAAGACGGCATAATATCACCCATCAATGTGTCATGGTAAGCAGATATCATCAATTCTTAAGGCCAACTGAGCTCAAACGAAACAATTAGACATATTCTTCTTCAGCAAAATTTTCTATATTACATAATATGACGATCATACAGATGAAAATAATTTTTACTACAAATTAGAAGAAAGACGTACTTCGTCATAAGTAAACTTTTGATTACCCTGTCCACCGTGACAACGATATAAGCCAATGGTATTGTTTTTCATACCAGAATCAAAACAAAAATCATCACGTCGAATTTCATTGTTAGGTGATAATAACCAAAACTAGAGAGAAATCATACAAAGGAGAGAAAGAATTAAGTTCGAATTCAAAGGATTAAACGCTCGTTAACTTATTCGCCTTCTTAATTAAGAATGTTTCAATTACGATAACTTATTCATTTCTCTATCTGAGAATATTAGTTGTGACATTCTTTGACGCTGGCGTTATGTTATTTTTTATGCATAAGATTGGGTTAATAACGTGTCGGTGACAGTAGTTCTACTTTATGCCTGTAAAACCTGACCCCTTAGAGTTAAGGATGTTCGCTCACTCTAAGCTCGACCATTGTTGTCTCCGAACGATTAATGATGTTCACTAGGAACGACATATTACTAACTCTGAGGTTTAGAAGTGAGTTTTAGCACAGAACCAATAATTCATTTGATGCTATCTTCTTGAAATATTGACCCCAGTAGCTTAGGTATACGTTATAATTATATACAAGTTTACAAGTTCGTGGATCAATAATGTCACCTTTATCTAAAGTTCTTCACAGAGCCTTATGTAATTGGCACATCTTATTCAGAATTACCGACACACTGACTGCATCTGTACTTCTTTAACAATTAGTTATGTCTTAAAGTTCATATAGATTTTAACAAAAATTTCAAAACTTTCGATTCATCAGTAATTAACCAAAAATATCTAAAACCGTTTCTCATTAAGATACATCAAGTGTAACAATTTATTAAAAGAAAATTATTCAAACTACTCTATGTTGTACTATAAACTATTATTGGTATGAATGTCATTCCTATTTCATTAACCAACATAACTATCAATAATCAATCGATTAACTGACTTGATTGCCACCTTGTTTATGACATGGCCATATTTTGATAATAGTTTGCTTTTTATCTCCACTACGAGGAGTCGGTGAATCCAAACAGTGTGGACCAGCAGCACTTTCAATCTACAATGTTAGAAATATCAATGAGTCAACTAATCATCAAGTATTTTATATATATTTGTTAAACAAGGTGAAAACTACCAAAGGAATATACCCACATTAATATAGATTTATTTTGATGAAGTTTTGTTATCTGAGCTGGATGCTTTGATCGTGGAGCTTTCGTCGTTCTTCTAAACGACATTATTAATACCTCAAGTTTGTGCTGATGATGTCGTTCAGAAGAACGATGATCCAGCTCAGAGAACAAAACTTCAAAATCATCCACCTGAGTTACGAATCTTCCCCACCATCTCATATAGATTTATTCAATATTTGTTTAAATAACATCATGCGATAAAATAAGACTGTTAAACGTATGAATTAACTGCTTGTTACGTTATTTATGCGTATTTGGTAGAACAAAATGATTTGATATTCTTGGTATTGAATAGTCACCTATACTGCACGGTGCTACCTTCTAAAGGCTTTCAAATTATCATCATAGACCTACTACTGCTGGAAATAACTTGCTCGTCGACTGTATTTTTCGGCATTGATCTCCTTCCACGAGGTCCACTTAATCGACAGAGAATACGCAGATCATATAGTCCTGTTTGGTGAAGCTGCTCATAAAAGGCAGAATCTTTTGGTAGATCTGAGCGACAATGTCAGAATGTTTGGGATGTGTTTTTCCCTATTTTACATGCAAATTCTTGCCTCAGGACTGACCTGCGTCAACATCTGAACTAAGGATAGAGAGTGAAGTAGTCGAACCATTGAACCAGAACATCTATTATTCAAAAAATATCTGATATGAATAGTTTACTGTCACCAATTTGTCCTTTCTATTTGTTTTTAAAAACAAGAAATTCATATATGCCTATTGCTAAACATCTCACTTCACAAACATTTATATAACCAAAAACAAAGTTGAGAGAATTTGAACACAGTTTTACGCGTTCGAAAGAAAAAAAGAAAGAAAACGATTTGGAATGATGTAACTGAAGAAATAGATTGGTCGAATTACGAAAATCAGAGAAACAGAATTATAAATGACTGACAAACCATCAAATGTAAACATGATTTCTGTCAAAAAACACTCCGTTTGAAACAAACAAATATGCAAATTGAATGAAGATGATTGATTGTGTTCCTTTTCAAACACATGTTACATCAATTCACTAGTTCATTTTAAACATTTTAACTGAAGTGAAGCTTCAAGTAAACACTCGTCAGTTAATTTTCTGAATTTAAATATGACATCCACAGTTAAAGTTACCGATCGCCGATAGTCCATCCGTAAGCAACACTAAACATTCAAACTAAAATCACATATGTTAATTTAGAAGGAGTTGTGTTTTCAATGAACAATGCATGTTCGACGTTTCAAATGAACATAAGAGCGCAAAAAACTGAAGTGAGCAATCACGGAAGAAGTAACAGCAGATCATGAAAGTAGATTTTGCAGTGTAAATGTATTCAGAGACAGTTTTTGTAAGTGATTTACAATCTAATCACATATGGATCTTATTTAAAATGATGATTTCAAGTTTACTCATTATTGGTAACAAAAATCAGACTGCCTAATGAAATCGGTGACAAATGATGTTATTAACCATCGAATTCATTGATGTGCTTACAGCTCGCATTATTTAATATTATATTTTGTTCGGAAGTATTTTGAAATATGGTGAAAATAAAAATACAGCAGCAGATAACAAGAAGTTGACCATAATCAACGTTGAACTCATTCCGTAAGATAGTTGATTATACCCTCAACTCAAAAATAATCTCACAAAACATCTTCAGGTTCTGAACGTGATGTGAGTTTGAACGGTTACCATAGTAACAAAACCAAGTCATACATTTTTTGTGTGCTAAACTGTTGTAGTGTCGGTTGCTATGTTAAGCCTAATTACCTTATTCTAACTTCTAGATAGGCCAATTTATCCATTCTTCTTGAGTTACGTTTAGACCTTGTTAATTATTCACTTATCAACCCTGACTGATTTTATATGTGACCATATGTATGTACACTTCTTATTCTATTCATTACATATGTGTAACTTAATTTTATCTGGCTATAAATACTGATTATCGTTTGATTAAATGGAGTTGGTTCACATGTCTTTTCCACAGCGCGTCATTTCATTGAGATCACTTCATTAGCGAATAAACACAACCTTTATCCAATTCCATCAGTGTCGAATTACCACACATTTTTAAAAAATATGTTAATTCGTAACAAGGGGTTTTGTAACGTCCAATATTAGTTCCAGGGAGACAGTTATCCAAAAGAAATTCAACGTGGCTTTTTATCAAGATAAAGAATGCAAAACTTCAAAGAGAAACACTTTATTTTCGCTGAAGAATACATATTTTAATCACCACCTCATTAAATAAACCTTCAAATTTTACGAGATGTAGGTTTCAATAAATTTTCTACAATCCAGTAACTTGCTGATTGATTCACTGGCTGTGCAATTTGGCATAGCTTAGATTTTTGACCATTTTGTGAGGGCATCCACTATGATTAAAAACGTTTTACTTCCTGAGGGAATGGCAATATCTTAATCAAGACTCTCCAAGGAACTATTAGGCTTTTTCCATTGTTATGGTACACACGTCATAAGACTTTTGGCTGCATGCAGGCACAACGAACAATTGAGACACCTAGTGTCGATATCTTGATCCATTGTAGACCAGTAAGTATAGCTTTGAGCCAAATACTTAATTTTATTGATGCCGGTATGACCGCTGTGAAATTGTTTAAAGAACTTTTGGCGTAATGTTTTTCTAAACATAATTCTGCCGCCGAACATAATACATGAATCGCCAATCTTGAATGAGTCCCGTCAGAGAAAATATTGCAACAGTTCTCCTTCAAAACGACAGTCCGGCCACTTGATGAAAAGATAACTACTAACTTCTCCTAATGCCTTGTCATCCTCCATAGCTTCGTTGATGGCTTTGAAAGTAACTGGTGGACAATCGAAAGCGTCTTCCAATACTCGGTGTACTACTGTTTCCATCTCAATTGCTGCCACCAAAGTATCTTATTTACGTATCAGTTGTGAACCAAATAGTTATCATTACTATGGTTTGACTTTATAATTTCGAATAAACTGAGCGTTGGATAGATTGTTCTAAATAAATTTATGTATTTGTAATTGTCGGACGTTTCGTGACTCAGTGTAAGCCATTTCTTCAGAGAACAAATGACCAAATCAAAATTAATCCATGTTGAAACAATACAACGGAATAACACGAAAATATTCTTCTTCGCGTTTCACTTGTGAACCAAACAGTCTATACAAGGCATAGGCTTGTCTAAAATATGTAGTGGGATGGTACTGAATCTTGAAGTTGTAACCCACGAATGTAGTTCTCTATCGTTACAGTCTGTTTTCCGTATAGAACGGAATCCACTTTGTCGACCTGAATATGGTCAGCAATGGTCTATAGTCAGTTTATATCGAAACATCTTTACAGTAAAGATAATTGACAATGCATTCTTCTCGATCTGAATGTATTAAACGATCTGGCTGCACTTGATACAGCTTTCTCAGATTCATCGGGTTAGATGTGTGAAATCACTTCTCCAATTACATAATTTGATGCATCCGCTGCGATCATAATAGCAACAACTGGATCATCATATCAAAAGTATTATCTATCAAAATAATATTTCAACATAGTATTTAAAGCTAATAATGACATTTCCAAAGGATTGTATTTCTCAATTCTTACAAGGTCACCAATAAGTCAATACAAATAAATATGACAGAATATATCACTGGAAATGTCCGATATTATGGTTAAGGGAAATTATTCATGGATGATGGATTGAAATACATAAACAAAGGTAACAGAAGACATTCTAGCAATATGAAGCGATGTAGTGACTTGAGAAGGCTTCAGAATTTGTAGACCACAAAAAAGGTAGTGAATTTCTTATCCCGACAAATGTAACATAGAAAAGGAAATTAGTTCATATATGATAAAACATGGTTGTACACGTATATTGAAAACATAAACGATTTATCAGATGGATTTCATTGAAATCTCTGATTTATAAATCATGAAATCATTGTTAGTTCAGTAAATATTAAGAAAACATTGTACATAGACAAGATCATATTAGTACATCAGAGGTAAATTAAACTGTAATCAGTATAATTATATAGAATAATAGACTAACAATTGTTTATAGCCAAATAAAAGATCGGTGCAAGTAACCGTAATTACTCATTCTGACTAGCATCATTTCATCTTTGGAAACATGAATTTCCATTAATTTCCCTGTGTTTGTACTGCAAAACACGAAGTCTTGTTAAGATTACCTTCATCTATTCTGGTCAAAATACCCATTTTATGCATACATACAAAACAATGTCTCAAACTGTCAAGCCCAATGAGCGAGTGTCAGTTATCTCTAGATCACGTGTACGCATACCTGAGTATTTCCAACTACCACAAATCCTTGGTCCAGATTCACCTTTGATGTTCAAACATCTAACTTCCTATCATAGCAAAAACGACGTCCAGTTATTTTAACTAGTGACAACGTGATCAATATATTTCCGTTAGCACTAAGAACGACGCATCATAAATGACATTGGTCACTATTCATTGACTGATCAGTTATAAAAACATAAAACAAATTGCAAATATAACTTGGGGAATAGTTTATGTTTAAACATTGAATTCCGTAGAAAACAGAAACTGTACGACACAAAAAACTTACATCACCAGAAGCCAAAGCTTTCGAAGGAACAAATAATTCAGGATAAACATTAGTTAAATACCAATCAAATGAGTGACATTTCAGTTTTTCTCTTAAGGCTTTACGTTCTGAAACATCTCCAAAATCAATCTAAATCAGAGTAAATACAGAAAGGAGAAAAGCATTTATTACGCAATTATTCGCTAAAGGTCAATTGCATCTCCTGAAAATTACTGTATTCTACCTTAAAAATGAGCATGGAAATATTTATGAATCCAACATGTACTCTAAAATGAATGCTCAAATTTTAATTCTCAACTACATCTTGACATTCTTGACCAGATTAAAAATACCAATAAATAACCTTGTAACATAATTACACTATTACAAACATTTTCAAAATTAAGCTGCATTAGTTTTGAGATGAAAAGTAAAACTTCGTTTTCACCTCTCGGCTTATAATGCTTGCGAATTCCGGCAATATCAATGCAACCGCACAGGATGCGAATATGCCAATAGGAGACTGATCAATTGTAGTCCGAAACATCAATGGCAAGATTCAAACAACCAATACAAAAGTAGTGTTTGAAACGAACGGTACTGGATTTCAGTCCCTGAGTGAACATCAACTCTGAGATGCAAGTTCATCCAGCTGACCACTCCTAAAATAGGGTGGAACCATAACTAGCCACCATTCATCTCTTCTTATGAAGGCATTTTACTTTAAAGATTTATGCACACACCGGAGAAGATATAATCGATAGAGACTGTTGAATAATTTCACAAAATATGCATTACCATTTAGAAAATATGGGTTTTCATTAGAAATAGGATCCAGAGAGCGCTTTTCAATGGTTGAGGCAATAATCCACACAGGATAAACAAATGTCAACGAAGAACAGTCAAAATTCATCCGTTAATACCAACAATCAAATGATTCAAACATTTACACGACAAGAAGAAAAAGATTATGTTTGGTTTTAGGTGATTTGGTAAACCTACTTATCATCAACATTCTGAATTCATCAAATCAACAGAAGTGTCAATGTTATTGTTAACATGTAATCGTCATTCATTCCTAAGTATGAATGAAAATAACTATATAGAGAATTATAAATGCAAAATACATTATAACTGATACCAACATGAGAAGAAAGATATTTTTTGAATAATAGTCAACTTTGCTTGTAAAAGGAAACATACAGGAATTCAGAACAGAGGTTTTGTTCCTCTAACTCAATATTTATTCAGCACCTTATTTTTACTATGACAACAAGACAGTAAAAGTAAAGACTCACACAACAGAATGTTGCTTATATAGCTAGCGAGTTTAGATAGGTATGATCTGTGAAGCATAGGAGGGCAATCTGAACTTATTGTGCAAGTAATGTATCCCTGAATATAATAAGTTATATACATTCATAAAAAGCAAATACAATGTAAGCATGGCAGACTTACAGTGTTAAATCCAATACGTGCATGATAAAATCTTTTATAATCATCAAGCCAAACATCAGCCAAACGGAGTAGATTTCTTTTCAAAGGATCTTTCACATTAATATTCCATTTGTATGGTGAACGACCACGGAAAATATGTCCAACAAGACTGCACACGACAGTTTCTAAACTACCACCACACATCCAAACCTAAATAGTACACATCACAAATGATGGATAGATTGAGAAGAGGAAAGAAGTGAGGACATGAACTAGCAGTTATAACATTCTTTATAATTTCATTACTGAAATTGTAGAGTTTTAAAACAGCTCAGAATTAAAGTATATTACAAAACAACAAACACTCTGCAAAATACTTTATTTTTCTCCAAAAGAAAAACACCCCTTTATGTTAACAGAGAACTGTGTCTACAAATTAGGATGGGTTGATTGTGAATCCTTCTATATTGGAGAGTCATCTCTCAAAATCTTGACTCGAGCTGATGAGCATCTTAGGTATACAAGGAAATCATCTAATAATCACAAAGAACTGGATAAACTTCAAATTAAATCAGCAATAACAGTTTACGCTATTTCGAACAACCATCAAATCGATACCAAAAACATGAAAATAATACAAAAAGGCTTTTCCAACTATAAAGAAAGCAGAGTAGATGAAACTTTTCATATAATGCTCAATCCTACTGCTCTCAATAGAGAAGAAAGCCTCACTATTCATCCGACTTGAACTATCTATCGATGTCTGATATTACTCATATTTCACACTATTATCGTACATGCAAATTAAACTCTATCCTTCCTCACCACAAATGTCACATTTATTTATCCTTGACCATACATAAATACACATACACAATATACATACCTATCGCACATAAATCATCTTGACCGGAATGACATGACAATGACTTGTCCATACCTGTTTTTTTTTATTGATTGCACCTAATATTCTTGCTTTACTCCTTTGTATTACTTAAACTTGAGTTAATCTTGATTTTGTTGTTTATTTTCTGAAGAAGAGGCTTACATTGAGTCACAGAACGTCGGAAAATCGGATTTTTCTGTACATTTGGAAATTACAAATAAATTCTTTTTATTTATAATTAAGTTTTATGAAAATTTCGATCGCAAAAACTATTTAGAATTTGTTTCATAAGAATGAGAATTTATCAGAAAGCTTTAAAACTCCATTTGTTTCATAAATCCTTAACTATTTTAGTCAATAATATATGATTATCAATGGATCCGTTGGCCAAATACTATCAGCAACAACCTACTGTGGGAGAGAACAAACCAGATCTCAGCGGAGGAGGAAATCAGGAAGAAGTGATGGGATTAGATAGGACATACATTGAGGAAAGTACCCAAATGCATCACAAGACAAGCTTTCACTTAGAATCCACAAGGCCAAAGGAGGAGAGGAAGACCAAAGAACACAATACGCAGAGAAATGGAGACAGACTTGAGAAGAATGAACAACAATTGGATAGAGATAGAAAGGAAGGCCTAGATCACAATGGGTTGGAGAATGCTAGTCGGTGGCCTATACTCCATTGGAAGTAACAGGAGTAAGTAAGTAAAGTAATGGTGTAAAATATTTGCAAACACTTTATGATCTGGATAAACTATCGATGGTTATAAAACTAATATCTCAGTTCTACAATTGAACTATTCTTGGAAGTAAATTCTTTTCATAATTCCATCGTTTGATTCTGTTCCATATAAAGACGGTCAAAGCTTAGAAACCACCTTAATTATGAATGGTATAACCGTTTTCATGTAATAAATTTACTGAAACTTTTCGAGAAAACACTCATTATATATTAAAATTTCAATAAACTGTAATTATTTAGGTACTGAACTCTTCATTTATTTCATAATTATCTCTACAATCACTGAACCAACTTTAGTTAATTTAGCAATCTGGTTCTTAATTGATCCATTATTAATTTCTCGCTGTAAACTAATTAATGGAGCTTATATATGATTTTTAAAAATGTGAATATTAAACGTTTTAGTAAAAAGACACAAAAGTAGTTTGTAAAGCGAATATATTGTAACTCAGTACCTACCAAATACAGTTTTGTCTGCTCAAGTTCAAATACAGATTATATATAAGTGTTAATAGAAATTACCAAGTGTCTGATCAGAGATAACAGAATTTTGTTTCGGAAATACAACACAACAGTCGGCGGTCAAGTATCTTGATTACCGGGTTATATTTCCTTACACCAGAGAATGTTCACATGTGCGAGATTTTGCGTTGTAATCCCTTTCCATGTGCATTATTTCGAAATTTATATTACAGAGTTAGCACACAAAGAGATGCTTATATACAGATTCTATAGTTTTAGCTCATCATCTTTAGAAAACCACGTAAGAAAAGATACTTTGAATCTACGAATACAAGATGGCCTAATAGAATATACTATAAACCATAAAAACAAAAGTCAGTTATTGGTGCTTCATAAGGTTAACCGACTGGTTGAATAGGTGGAGCCCATTAGGCTCAAAATGAAACGAAAAGGATAGATTCGGGAGAGATGCTGCAGTACTCCGGTCACAGAGAGCAAAATGTTCTACACATTCAGGGAGTCGCTCGGATGCTGTCCAAGGAAGAACTAAATGCATTTATGGGATGGGAATCTGATGGATCCAAGATCAAAGCATCATTCAAAACAAGGGAATCACAATAAATGTTGTCCAATGTTATGCACCCACCAATGATAAAAATGATGACGATAAAGATCGCTTTCATGAAAGGCTGCAACTAATCATAGTGAACTATCCGGGTAAGGACCTAACCATCTGATAAGAGACTTAAACGTCAAAGTCGTGATGGACAACAACGAGTATGAAGATATCATGGGATGACATGGAATGGGACAAAGGAACGAGAATGATGACGGATTTGTAAATTTATGTGAATTAAACAATGTGGTAATAAATGAAACAATACTCCCACTCAAAGCTACATAGTAATCACCGTACCACACTATGGAGAACCAGATAGATCATATACGCATCACCAAAACATTCAGAAGGTCGATGGAAGACATGAGAACAAAAAGGCAAGATGACATAGCTTTTCATCACCATCTGGTGATCGTCAAGATGAAACTGAAGCCAAAAAAGTCAGAGACAATCGGGGATGCAGCACTACAAACGTTCGACACAGACTCTCTTCGACATACTTACAAACTCAATGTATTTAAGATGACTTTAAACAACAGGTTCTGAGTCTTACAAGATCTACTAACAGAAGAAAAACCACTATGGAAGACAATTAGAAAGGGATCTAAGAAGCACTAGTTTCAACGTGTCAGAAGGTTTTGGGCTGCAAGATGCATCATCATGAAGAATAGAAGTGTGTTGAAATTATAAAACAGATTAATGAACGTATAGTAAAGAGTAATTAATATGTATATCACTATTTATAGAACAGCTAAGCAATTACCAATTGAAGAACAAATGGTACTCAAAACAACGGTCAACCAATACCAAAAAAGTGAGAATCTTCAATACGAACATTAAGACAGTACTACTGTACGGAGCTGAAACTTGGTGAACTACCACAAATATCATCGAAAATGAGCAAGTATTTAAAAACAATTGTCTACACAAGATATTAAAAGTCCGTTGACCGGACACCATCAAGAACAAACTACGGTGGGAAAGAACAAACCAACATCCAAATGATGAGGAAATTTGCAAACGTCAGTGGAAGTTGATAGGACATTTATTACGGAAATCATCACACTGCATCACAAAGAAAATGCTAACTTCATAATCGTGAAGCAAAGCGGAAAACAGGAAGACCAGAGGACACACTAAGCAAACATGAAAAGTATGAATAGTAACTGGAAAGGATTGTCCAAGAGAGAGTTCGATGAAGAATGCTGGGTTGTGACCCATGTTACCCCACGAGGAGTAACGGGTGTAAGTAAGTAAGTAATTAGCATTCTAAATATACGATGCTAGTCAACATAAAAGTTGATAATCAAGCAATTAGGTTAAACCATCCAATGCAAAAATAATTGAGCTATCAAACACAGTTTTATGTTATTTGTTTTCAGACGAGCATTTTGTATACAAGTTTGTAACTCGCTCTCTCAGTTGTATTCTACATAACCATTAAACACTAGTAGTATTCCATAATATTCTATAAGCAACACCACAACATCACTCGAATGCTAAACAGTTCGATTGAACATTTAAGTAACTATTTTCATGGCTATTATTTAATCATTGTTTTCAAATCACTACGGAACCATTCTACTTGAAACATAATTCAACGGCTAATATACATCAATTAAATCTCCATAATTGTAGTTTAATCAGGATGAAAATGAAACAAAGTAGTCAACAATCGGTTATTATATTTGACAAACTATATATTGATGTTTGCTTCTCTCAATTATCTAGATTAAGCTGTCCAAATATAAATCAAGGAAAACGGAAATACCAATCAAGACAAAATAATACAGTCAACCGCCTACATAAATATGCATGCAAATATCAAAATTCATTTGTGACTATCATTACACGTAAATGGAAATCTGTAGCTCAGGCAAATACATGAATTGCATGGCTGACATTCAAATAATTACTGAATAAATTTTCATTTACTTCAGCAAATATAAATACACTACTGATACATATGGGTTGTATTTTGGAACAAGTTAATATCTGCTTGAATGTTTCAGCAAAAGATGACAGACTAATGCTTATCAGACCTGACTTGATGCAATCACTTCTCGAGTTCGAACTTTGCTTCACTGACATCGATTTGTGAAGTAGTAGTAGTGTGATTAGTTGTTAGACGTAAGAAAGTGTGACTTATTGTTAGATATACGAACAAGATTACTTGCTAGCTTCCTTCATGGAAAATGTCACCTTGTGTTGTAGATGGATTTTTCGGACGATGCCATTTGTAGTCAAATACTTACCAATAATGATGTGAGAAAGGGAGGAATTATTACAACCATAGTCATTATAATTCATCTACCGACTGCAGATGCATTATTTATTCGAGATTGGTGTATAAATTAGCGATGAAATACTAGTGAACTGTAATGATGTAGACGCTTACTCTTTGTAACATTTAAGAAATAAGGGTTCCTTCTGAAATGACATTTTCATCGTAAATTGTGATTTGAATGCTGTCTACGAAACGCTTTGTCTATCATGTCGTCACGTGAACGTGTAAAAATCAACCAACTTTTCCATCAACTGATCACTTAAAAATTGTGTAGGTGCTGACAGTATTCAAATTTTTCTGGGTTATCTCGGTTTAGAAATTAAAGGGCATTTGTTACTTCTTGATTGGTGAAACAATGTTTGAGGTACAGAGAATGAAAACTAGGTTAGTACTAATTTCAACAACCTCAATGTGGACCGTAGAGGCTGAGGGACAACTGCGTAAAGCTTGATCGAATTAGTATTTCTTAGGCAATACCACCAGTGAAAGTGTGGTATCGTTTGTATGGAGTTGTCTGAGAGGAAAACATTATTATCACTCACAATTGCGGTCATGTGAACAACTTAATCCTAACATCTTAAGACTGTTCATTCTAACCTTAAGCTCTCGACAGATATACTTATTATATTAGAACAAGTGATTTTTGCAACAGGCAAGCTTAACAATTATATTCCTGCTTCTCACCAACGACATAAATCTCTCAATGTACACAAGGCTTGAAAAATAATCTTCTTTAGCTACGAATCTCGACCCATCGAAATCAAAGCAGCAGTTATAGTAAGGATGAATCAACAACAATATATAACATTTAAATGAACATAGGTGGAATGAGATCCCACGAAATAGTGACCAATTTTAAGGCATCGTGGACTGGTCAGAATAAACCATCAAAATCTTTATAATTACCACTGCTACATTTATCCCGAAAACAATAGAAATCAACCATATCAAAAATTTCTGAAATTTCTCTGAAATTTCGATGACCATTTAAATTAGATGAAGCAGAATAAAGGGAGTAAGACAGAAGTAAAACTAGGTTTCAACTGACTGAACAAACACACAACAAACAAACTGAATGAAATGAAATGCGAGAATTTCATTTTAAGTTAGAAAAATGCAAGCAGATATATACATCTTTGCTTACTTTGAATGACAGTTCCAAATTTTCACCTCCCCATATTTCCATACCAGAATCATACTTCCCAAGATGATTAAAATACTCACGACTTATAGCAAATAAACCACCTGCCATGGTTGGTGATCTGAAGAATACAAACATGCCGAATAGTGAAAATTAATAAATACAAGACCAGTATACACTAATTCCTCATCACTTAAATAATGTCAGAATATTCGTATACACCAATCTTAATGTTTTAAAGAGATGTGTTCATTCTAATCAAAAAGAAATAATGAACAAAATTCTTATCAATAGTCAACAAGATCAACTCGTCACTTGTGTAGTCAGTTTAACTTAAAGTAAATCGAGAAATAACCAAGGTTATTTAATGGGGATTATGCTGTGTGATAAAATGTCTACTATGTGCTGACCTATTAAACTAGGATGAGTATCAAACTCACTATGAGAAATAAATATCATTGGTTTATGGGTGATTGTAGGTGCGTCCAATGGTCCACCAAACGGCTTCAGTTTGTAATGTATATTATCATGGAAACATTCAAGAACATATTTTACGTATTTTACCTGTGCAATATCAGTTGCAGTATTTAACTATCATTATTACATACATAAATGCACACATACACATGTAAATATTCATATAGACGCAATGATATGCAGTAGTTAATAGTATCAATACAATGATATGGGAATTTTTAGTAATTTGTAGAAATAATCGTTATTCATGTAGGCTAATTACATACATTTTTTAGATTGTACAACAGATAACTAATAACTGAAATGTCAATTCATTGTGATTATATTCAATTTCATGCAACTAAAAAAAAGGATTACTATTCATGATAAATAAATATTGGTATCAGGATTTGTGGAGATTGTAGTAATTTAACAGTTGAGTTGACGAGTCGATCTCAGCTCTACAAACCACCATTCTGATAATCATCTGCTGGCTAGTGACTAGCTTCAAAACTGATTTCATGGAGTTCTAGTGAGAAAACATGATCAGTGGCATCCAATCCGTGTCTGGTGGAGACAGTTGTCCACTTCAGGCATTGGATGAAGGGTTGCGTAAAATCAGGGATCGATTGAAGTTAGACAATAACACCGTTGAATGCCAGCCGGCTCATTGGTTTAGCAGGTTAAGCAATCGTGCGCGAGACCGAAGGTCCTGGGTTCGAGTCTTATGTGTGGGAACTTGTATTCGCAATTCTGAAGAATCCTTACTAAAACGAGATGGCCGTCCAGTGTTACCAGGTTTTCAGTGGTGGGTTAGTTAGGATCGACAAGTCAATTCGACTGTTAAGGCAAATATTAGACTTTAAGTAAGAAATTGTTATAACGTGTGATCCGCCTATTATCGATCGAAACAGTGACGCATAAAATACGTGCGAGCAGCCTACAGTTCTGACTGGCCAAGCTTGCCTGTCTAGCTTAGCTAGTTAAGTCCAGAACACAAGTCTCAGCCTCGGTGATATGAATCCTTATATTTCAAACATACTCTGTTTATATAGCGATCAAACAGACCACAACGTACCATAAAATAGAAAATAACATTTGTACAAGATTTAACCTTCAGGAAATGACACAAATAAATACTGACCAATGGGGGAATGACACTAGTTCTCATTCATGAATAGCACTAGATAATTTCTGGGGTATTTTCTGAATACCCCAACAAAATGCAACAAATAATGTTTAGTATAGTAGGCATGTGTGTGTAAATACATGCAATTAATGCAGACCATCTATAAATGGTACTATTGTTATCATATAAATCTCTAGTACTGAGTAAGAAGAATAAAACACTAAACAAAATAGGTGATGAGTAATGAATGAAAACATTTCAAATCGAATAGCACATTCCTATGAGAATGGATAGAATAAATATATCAACTCGATCAACATGAAAGGAAATCCTCCTCCAGATACACACACACAAACGAATTCCGAACCATTAATAAGCATAATTGATGAGAACAATTGTCATCTATATGTTCAATTGTTACAACTATTACAAGAAAGGAAATAATAAAACAATGAAAAATTATAAAATGAGAAGACGAAGATTATCAAAACTACAGTTCTGATAATCTACGTCTTCTTATTACATTATCAAAATTTACCAAAGGGACCAATTGCTTTAAATAAAATGTAAACTAAAAAATAGTAATGTTTACTCGGCGTAATAAACATGAAACAGATGACTGACAGAACATTATAAATATATATATTGCTATCAGTTAGATACTAAGAAAACATGATGAATCCTACGAAAACATTCAAATGATATACTAAATTTGGATAGTTGGCAGCAAGAAAATTCTAAGACATGCATTTGATCCTGTTTGAGATTCACCAAGTGGATGTACTTGTATAACAATGTCAATACTCACAATAAGACTCAAACTCAAAGAAATGAGTTACCTATTGAGCCAGTGAGTTCAAACAACACACAGTTATTTGAAGTGAAGTCCACTAGTTTCGAGTTTCAGTGTGAACAATCGTACTGGAGTGCTGACAAATCCAAAATGGTATCAAATGTGTGTACTGAACTCTACTGCTATCATAAGTGCATATTGTGCGTATGTCTCGATATTGCCTTAATTCACAAGCTTTTATAAGCAAAGATAGATAGTGGCTTGCAGTGGAATCCAGGACGCGCGTTTCGTCATATTTAGGACTCGTCTGCTTGATGTACCTGCATCTCAGAGTTGATGTCCACTAGAGGACTTGAACTCAGTACCATTCGCTTCAAAAGTCATCGAGTTATCTATTCAGCTACTAAGTCATGAGTCCTGATAGCCATAAGTTATAACTGAACAATGGAATCTTTAGTAATAATTATAATCCAATCAACTGAGTATGTATTTTATGCCTAAATAAGAAGTATTTCGTTTCAATGAAACGAATAGTAATAATAATAATAATAATGATAATATTAATAATATTATTATACTTAGATTATTTCGAAAGGCCTATTAAATATTAAAATAAACTAGAAATAATGTTATGTAATATAGATCTAAGTATGTAAAAGAATGTTGTTTATGTCAAAATGTGTATTGATGCGAGTATAGTATTATATGCTTTATAATAATGAAATATAAATGACAAATAAATATCATATTATGAATACCATTTAGAATATCATTTGGAATAATATAGATTATATCAAATACAGTTCTGTATGTTGTAACCCTTCATTTATAAAAATTTAAGTAAGTGTTTTAAGGATCAATTATGTAACCTAATAATTGAAGTAGTCTTTTTGTATTATTTGAACACTCTACTACAAAAATATGAACATTTAAAACCCATGATACAGTTAAAATATCTTTTAAATATAAATGAAATTATATAGACGCAGATAAATCAATATTGAATAATGTGTCTTCAAATTAAGAATGTATGTAGAAATACACGTTATAAGCAATAGGGTACGGATATAAATCATTCAATAAATATTGATTAACAATGAAAGCTAATATAGACCTTTCTAATTAAATCTAATAATTAATAATCAATTTAGTGAATACGCATTATAGTTACCTTTATTGTAGTCATGATAACACGATAGTGAAACAAAAATGTGTGAATATCGAAAATTTCAATTAACTCTTGTAAGGTGACTTATTTGGAAAAAATATGATTTGAATGCTTTTTGTATTCAACTAATCTGAGTTTTAAAAGAATAACATTGATTATTGAAGTAATAAAATGATGTAAGAAATCAGCTTTAGAAATATCTTTGTATCATTTAAACCATAATTTAATTATAACACTTTTGAATAAGGAAAAGAGAAGTCAGTGAAGAAAATTTTTATTTCGACTAAATTTTCTTCACTGAATTTTTTAAAATTCAATAACACTATGGGTTATTATAGCACTTTTATTGTAGTAGAAATGAAACTCATTAAGTCAATGATCTCATTACCTCAAACATCATTGTTGAAGTGTCTTGAGTGGGGAAGTTTCATGTCATCATTTCAATAGATTTAAATGGGATGCTTGATTTTTTTTGGTTGCTACCGTAATATAAACTTAAGCTGATGTGGTTCATGTACGCGTCAGTATCTTTTACAAGTTATTTTGCATATGTCCGATTGCCTCAGTATACCGACCATTTCTTCATCAAAAAATCAGTCTGTCTTTTATGATTTAGCATTGGGAACTAAGTTGGGAGTACATCAACATTGTAATCAAAGGAAATGACTAACAATCAAATCAGTAAGTAGATATCATAGTTACCATTTCTAAGCAGTTATTATAATATGATAACAGAACAAGAAATCACCAACACCCTTGATATGGTAACTACGTCTGACAAATACAAGTTTAGATGTAGTGAACAGGATAAATCTGGAAATGAAAATGGATAACAAACACGAATGAATAACATTCGCTATAAACTCTCAAAATCAAATTACTGCTACTGTGTGGTTTATGAGTCTAATATTCATAACGTAAACTTTCTATAAACTAATACAGACTAGCTGCATGGGTGAGAAGGAACTGAATCAAGAATATATGTACACTTATTTATAAATATATATCATTAAATCTTAGAAAATCGACACAAGCTTTCGACCAATAGTGTGTTCTACCATTAAAAATGAGCTAAATAATGACCGATGGCGTGTATTTATTCTTTACTTCAATTACTGATTGGTTAGACATGTTAATAACATTGGGAAGAACTTTATACACATAAACGCTCATTGCTATATCATACAACTTAAATGAAGATCAGTCAGTCTTTCATCTACAATGTAGGACCCATCCCACATATATGCACCGGTCCAAGATGCCACACATCATTAACACAACACGATCAACATCGTAGAAAGATGCCATTGTGATCTTTTCTCAGCCATGTCACCCAGTTTTCAAATCACTGGTTACGATAGTTGCACGGACCCCAACTTAGTAGTCTGTATCTCCAACTTGGCTCACACCAAAAGTTAGTGGCTTTATGGATTGATGCTATATTTTGGGTTGGCCACCGTTAACTTTCTTCCAACCGTCTCCAACACTAGTCAGCATAGCGCGCCGTGTTAGTCGGTGATTGGTCGTGAGTAATACGTGGCAAAATCATCTCAGTCGATAAGGATTTACAACCCCATCAACTGGTTTATCATCATTCCCTAATACCCTGAGTCTTCACTATTACTTGCTCAGTCATCACAGCAGGTACTGGCAATATTTTTAAGACATCTGTGATCGAATACTAGTAACTTACGAGTAAATTAAAATACTTGAACATCGAAAGCTATGGTCCATTAGACGCAGTTTAATAACAGCGAGCTAAAGAGAAATCGGTATAAAAATGTCGAACTAATTGAAAATAGATACGCGAATGCAATTAATTAAACTGTGTTGGCTAACGTTATTAGGTTGATTAACAAAGATGTCTGGATAATTATTTCCGAAAAATGATGAACATGTATACAAGATCTATAAACCAAAAATGGACAACCAAGTTAACTATGTGTAGGGTGTATGGGGCCCTTCTGTTCTTGTCGTTATTTAGATCAGACGATGTTTGTTGACGAGCTCTCCACTTTAGCGGCACGAGATCTAACTCCAAGTAGATCGTATAAATGTTTGTTATCGCCTATTCTCGTATATAATCATCGACTTAAATCACATTAGTCAATAACAGAATTAAATAAGTCAAATAACGAGAATGGACTTTTGAATACATATATTTTGTATATGAAGCGAATGGAACAGTGTGAAGCGGAACGACGCGCAGTGGAGATGGTGGGTAATCCAACTCCCATTCAACCAAGAATTAATCAATATTTATAGTCACACAAAAATAAGTTACAGACATGTGATGATCAATGGGATAAGAAGTGTACACACACACATGTGCTTATATAAAAACAATGAAGATTGATAAGCGATTAATTAACAAGGTCAGAATGTGACTCAAGTAGAATGAATAGAGTAGGCTGTCCGAAAGCTAGAATATAGCATATGGGCTTAACATAGTGACTGACACTATAGGTGTCTTTCAAAGATTATAAAAGTACAGAAAAGGGATAGATTATTATGTAGATTAATATTTCGTCTCGATATTTATTATTTCTAATTTATGAGTTTTGTGAAGATTATCCAATTTTCATAATTTGCATCACAGATTGATTCAAGTTTGGGCATCGGTAAAAACTAAGACGTAGTGGACAGCTGTTTCATTATAGTAGATGATTAATCAGAAGTGTGAATGTACAACCCTGCGAAAGATCGAACCAAGGACTTTTGATCTCATGCGCGTACCCATAACCTCTTTAGACCAGTGAGCTGTCATTCTATGTTGTACATGTTTAAATGCAATACATTCGCGATATTATTAATTTTTTAAACTATGATTGACACAACATTTTTTGTACAATAACTGACTCCAAGTAAATATACGGTGTATAGAGAATATAGTAGAAATTACATAAACGATTGATAGCTCATATCTTAAACCATTCAATAAAAGTATAATCGAACAATATGAAATTCAATTTACATTACACATGAAGTAGATTAATTCAACCAGTCTATATTTAACAGAAATTATGTAAATAAAGTGATTTACACGGATTTCAATCAACCAATATACCAAGAAAAAAATGAAAATATAATATACCAAAGAGATTAATGGAGAAAAACAACATTCAGTCAATAAAAACAATTACATAATATGAATAATTACTTAATCAATCGAAATATTAAGTAATCATTATAAGGACAAGTTAAAAACAATGTAATACGTAACTAATTCATTAAATTTTATAAGTAACGATCTATTTACGAAGCATTGGTTTACGTACTCATCTCAAAGTCATAATTTCTGTTTTATTTCCTTAAGTCTATTGAGGAATTATTCAACTATCGTTCACTAATTAGCTGAAAGTAGTTAAATTTTACAAACAACTAATTATAGAAAAGATAATAAGATGAAGTGAGAAAATCATTCTATGGAAAAACCACGTAAAGAAAAATCAAACATTTATAACATGTCATTTTTTCACTTCTACTATTTAAAACTGTTCAGAATTAATTTTGGAAATCTGATCTACTTGAAGATAAAAAAACTTTGAATTCAATGTATTGTAGTCATGTTAAGATGTAACCATTGTAGTTTGATAGATAAAAAGCATGTATCAGAGAAATAATAGAGATGTCACTGATTATAACTGATGACAAGCGTAAAATAGACATCTAAACATGAAAGAGTGGGATTCCCTACTAATTCAAAATGCTCAGGAAGTTTTCTTGTGCAGAGAGTTATTTCAGACAGAAACATTTTTTAATAATATAGGGGATATATCAAGATTATAGAAATTTCATAGTTCCTAAATCATATGATGATCTTAGCCAGATCACCACTGAAAACCTGAAGGTAACGGATGCCTATTACGTTCCAGAATAGAATTTCTTAGACATGAGAATCCGCGCGTCGAAACAAAGATCACTGTCTGTAATATCAATAACAATAATTATCATTATATGTGGAAATTATATTTCACATAATCTCAGCGATTGAAATTTAAATGATTCCAAAGGTTCGTGTAGAAAACTTAACTGGACTTGTTCAAGGTAATAATCAAAATTTTTAAAAACATAATGTTTAACGATCAAATAAACTCTAGACTGTACAATTATCACTAACTGCTTGCATTAAAAAAAGCCTAAAACACAAAAATAAACCAATCAAACTGCTTTTTTTGTTGAATAAATTCGAATACTAACAGGGTTTCATTGGATTTCAAGAAGAGAGAAACAATTGCTCCAAAGAAAACGTAAGTAAAAGCACGAAAATATTGATAACAGTAGTTTTTGAACAGATTAAATTTAGCAGTTTAAAAATCCCCATAGAATATTCAAAAATTAAGAATATTTGAGCGAACAATTGTTTTCAATAACTTCATCATCAGGCTCTACAGTTATAAGTCCATAATTATTGTGATATTTTACAAAGGCCAAAAATAAGGCATGTATTAATGAAATTTGACAATGTTATGTGTTAAAAAATTGGTGCACTTTTGCATCTGTTACGATATATATATATATATACTTCAAAATGGTATTATTTGCAAATGAGAAAGGTCATTCAATAAAGGTCAAGCTGATTTGGAGTAGTGTTCAATCAAAATAAGTAGAATAGTATTATAGCAAAATCGAAAAACAAAATTGTGTGAATAGAATGCATAGTAAGAGAATTTCATCTTGTCAATTGGGATAATAATAATAATAAGATTGTGGTGTGAATATAATATGTAATAAGGGGGTAGGGGGTGTTATCAAGGTAACTACGATCAACGAATTGGGAATGATAGATGTGAAGATTAAGATAGGGATAATCAAAATTAATGATAATAAGGAAAATAAATAAAATTAGGGGAAGGGGGTAAGAGGTTTAAAATATTCAGACTAGGTATTCGGTGATCCAGTCCTAGGCCAAGGTAAACATAGAGGCTGGATATATTTTTTCTGGATACATAAATTAGGTCTTCTAGAGTTGATCCAGATGGCTTCGGCTATGTAAAGTAGACGTAATCTAGCTCCTTGAGGTAGATATTTTGGAACTTGATATAAAACAGAGAAAGCTTCCTCTATTTTGATATGATGTTCATTATCTACCAAGTGTGAAAGAATAGCACTGTTAATAGATTTAGTAACTCCTTTTCCCAACCATGCCGGCACATGTTCACGAACACGCAAGGATAAAGCCCTCTGAGTACGGCCTATGTAACTAGCTCCACAGGAGCAGTTGAATTGGTATACACACATGGAGGAGCCCATCTTCGGTAACCTATCCTTGATTAGTTGTGTGAGTACTGGTTTAGTCGAGAAGATTATGTGTAACTTGGCAGCATGAAACGTCCTTTCGACCGATCTTTTGAGTCGGCGTGTTAAAATCTCACCCGCTATATCCCCTTTAAAGTCAAGTCTCAGATACAAGGTCTTTTTTCTGACTGTTTCACAATGTCTTCTTTTCTTATTACTTTGTACGAGGTATTTTTTGACGAAATTATCAGGATATCCATTATCTCGTAATGTATTCTTTAATATATCTATTTCGTCATCTACACAGTCTTCAGAACACAATAAATTGATTCTGTGGCTGAGACACTTAACCAAATTTATTTTATATTGAAGGGGTGTGAAGCTTTGGAAATGGGTATACTGACCCGTCCATGTACTCGCTCAAATATTCTTAATTTTTGAAGATTAAATTTACATTAAAATTGTTTATATTAAAGTATTAGTTCCATGAGGATATGCAAACAAGGAATGAACATGATGGTGCTATCGAATGATTATAAAACTACATTAAATAATATGAATAATAACAATATAATTTTTAATAATTGAATTCACGGCTCGATCTAAGCTAGACCACCACTGAAAACCTCGAAACATTGAATGGCCATTTCGTCTTAGTATGGGACCCCTCAACAGTGCGCATCCAGGATCTCACATGTGAGACTCGGGTCCAGGACCTTCGGTTTCGTGTGCCAACGCAAACAAATCACTGTGTGAATGCAGTAAGATTATTAAAAAGTTTCTCTACTACAATTAAAGGTAGTAGAAATGCAAAATATTCTCATGATTTTACCCATAATTCTTCCCTATATCACTTCATTTAATTTTGCACTTTATTACCTTTAATTATTGGTACAAAACATTCTAATCAAATTACAACAGTCAGATTATAATCCGTTTCTAACTTATTAATTTTACTGTTATTATTCATATCACATAATCTTGATTAAATTTATTTAAATCACAAAACTAAATGTGAATTTTTTACCTAACAGGTGAATATGGTGCACCAGGTCGATTTTTGTCACGTTCAGTTTGTTCATGCCATCGGAATGTTAAGCTCCAATCAAATCCACCAACTTGAACATGAGCCGCCTTAAGAAAATTATACTTCAACGTTTTATCACTTATAGTCGATATTACGGGAACAACAACAATTGACGAATTGTAAGCAATACGATCTAAAAGGGGTTCAAGCCAACCTAGAAAACAAACAAAAACAAGTACGAACGGTTAGAAATTCAATGATGTTGAACCATGTAGTATTGTAGATGAAAGGCAACTAATCAACAACAAAATGTGCAACTTTATGCAAAACGTCACTTGTGCATTATAACCGGTGGTCTAAGATCAACGAAGCACAGTTTTGAAGGATACTATTAATACCAGTGTATCACTTATCATCATTACACGATTTCAGGTTGTCAGTGAACAGCTTTATTCCAACAATGTATTCTTGTCACGTTCAACTTACAACTCATAAGATGATGTCAGTGCAAACAACATCGTTCTGTATTCAGTTGTAAAACATAAACAGAAAGATGAATATTGTCTTAATGTTGAAGTGTAAATAACTACAGATTCCATATTCACCTGAAGTAAAATCTATGTGGTACATTATACAGCAATGTGTTATAAATCGAGTAGACACTATCATTAAGAACACTATCTCTCTACTTCTGGATTCAGATAGTCAGAACGTCAAAAATCGAATTTATATTTTACTAGAGCACAGATTTGTCTTAAGATCATTACATAATTCACTTCAATTATATAAGGTAGCTACATGTTATTGGAATAATGTGTTGCAACGTATCAATTACATGAGCAATGAACTAGGGATGAACGTTGACCAACAATGAACAGAAATCCTCTGTTTGGTTCAGCGTATCCCTGTTTAGGCGACGAGTGTAAGAAAAGGCCAAGTACAAATTAAGTCAGATGAATCTATTTCAAGTACTCATTTGATCGGAGAGACTAAAAGACGAAATGCGAAGAATGGAAGACAAACAAAATTACTAAATAAACTATATATAAATGAAATGTGCGCTAAGAATACAAAATAATTAGAAATGATGCAAATTTATCAGATATGCAAAAATATTGAATATTGAATGTGTTATATACTCCTGGATATTAAACGAAACTATATTTAAAATATCAGGGAACACATCTGTTATAACGGTTGGTTTTCCAGGTTTACACGTATGGGAAGTTAGTTCACCTTAGATGAATATTTACACTAGATTATCTCCCAGTATCTATTCTACAGGACTTCAACACAATTATCTTACTAAGACGGAAGTTTACGGAAGATGGAAGAAATTTGGTGTATAAAATTCCAATCAGATGGCTTGCCAACATTACTCTCTACGAGGATGAAACACATGAGATAGAAAGAGAGTGTGGAAATCCTGGTGCATTCTATCAAAAGGCTCCTAAACTAGAAAGTGGTGTCTATAGTGATGAGAACTAATACAAATATCGTTACCGTTACAAAAAATGTATATTGTCGAATAATAACAAAATACAATATAATTTCTAAATAATAATGATTTAACGAATTATATAGAATGAAGATGGATAATTACAACCAATAGAAGAACACAAATCTACGCAAAATATCATACATAATTTCGAAATACATTCATGGGGTGTCTACAAATCCGTATATGTATCTCAACAGAAGAATAGACACAAAACAGTGAAAAATAATCCATTAAATTAACGATTAACAGATATTATCGAAAGGGATATGAGGAATCAATTAAATCACATAAAATCCGATCTAAACTGTTTGAAGATAATCTCACGCGAGTATTATCAAGTGTTCACTACAAATATATAAACTAGTTTAGTGATGAAAAACGCGGGTTGTGATAAAAGCCACAAACGTGAGTTGTTCTTTTATATAGTTGTTAAACCTGGTGTCATCAAGTCAAGCACATTACTTACTTACTTACTTACTTACTTACGCCTGTTACTCCCAATGGAGCATAGGCCGCCGACCAGCATTCTCCAACCCACTCTGTCCTGGGCCTTCTTTTCTAGTTCCATCCAATTCTTGTTCATTTTTCTCATATCTATCTCCATTTCCCGGCGTAATGTATTCTTTGGTCTTCCTCTCCTCCTTCGACCTTGAGGATTCCATATGAGGGCTTGTCTTGTGACGCAGTTGGGTGTTTTCCTCAATGTGTGTCCTATCCACTTCCAGCGTTTCTTCCTGATTTCATCCTCCACTGGGATCTGATTTGTTCTCTCCCACAGTAGGTTGTTGCTTATAGTGTCCGACCAGCGGATCTGAAGTATTTCGCGTAGACAACTGTTAATAAACACCTGTATCTTCTGGATGATGGATTTCGTAGTTTTCCAGGTTTCCGCGCCATACAGTAGAACTGTCTTGACATTTGTATTGAAAATTCTGACCTTGGTGTTGGTTGCTAATTGTTTTGAGTTCCAGATATTCTTCAGTTGTAAATATGCTGCTCTTGCTTTGCCAATCCGTGTCTTCACATCTGCATCAGATCCACCGTGTTCATCGATGATACTGCCCAAATATGTAAAGGTTTTTACATCTTCCAAAGCTTCTCCGTCAATTGTGATTGGATTGGTACATGCTGTGTTGTATCGAAGAATCTTGCTTTTCCCTTTGTGTATATTGAGACCTATTGCTGCTGAGGCTGCAGCTACACTGGTTGTCTTCTCCTGCATTTGTTGTTGCGTATGCGATAGAAGAGCCAGATCATCTGCGAAGTCTAGATCATCCAATTGCATCCTAGCTATCCACTGTATCCCGTGCTTCCCTTCAGATGTTGATGTCTTCATGATCCAGTCGATCACCAGGAGAAAGAGAAAGGGTGAGAGTAAGCAACCTTGCCTGACACCTGTCTTTACTTCGAACGGCTTTGTCAACTGTCCTCCATGCACGATTTTGCAGTTTAATCCATCATAGGAATTCTGTATGATATTGACAATCTTCTGAGGCACGCCGTAGTGTCGAAGAATTAAAAGTCAAGCACATACGACCTCTTAATCTTTATTCGTTATAAAAATATGTTTACACTCAAAAGATTCATATTTACAATCCGTAGAAGATACAATATTATGAAACACTTGTACAATCAAGTAACGTTAATGTATTACCAAGCTCACCTGTGGTACATTCAATATGAGAATCTAGAAACACGAGCACTTTCCCAGTACTGTGTTCTGCACCAATCATTCTTGCTCTAATCAATCCTTCACGTCGTTTAGTACGAACAATTTTGACAATATTTAACATTCCCATATATTCTTCTAGTGCTTCTCTAAGATGAGCTGAGTTCACAAAAAACAAGTCAAGAACAAATACCATTGTTATGTTTAATTAGTGATCTATCAAACTGATTTTAGCAAACGAAAATACTAAATTATTAACTGATAATAGAACAGTTCAAAATGAACGAACAAATCAGTTGCCAATAAATTTTCTCCTGCTATCAATATATGTTTCACAAAAATCCATCTATTATGCATCAATCACTATCATGACGAGAAACTGAATAATCTTCTATAGTGTAATTTTCAATCAACTGAACTTCATTATTTATTAGGACAGTATTAATAGTTAAACAGTTCAGTGTATAGACACGAAAATTAGCAGCTTCAAAATCATGCACAACAATAATAGGTCATGATACGTTTACATGCAAAAGAATCAATAATTCACTTTGAAAAAGATTGAAAAGTTTGAACCATGAATAAAAAAATTCTTCAACAGAAATAGTTTTCAGAACAGATAGGTTGTAGTTAGTAGTGAAATCCAGAACCTAACTTTCGTTCTGTATGAGATTCGTTAACTGGATGTTAATGTATTGCAGTCGTGTTGTTTACATTAAGACTCGAACGCATTACTTTTTGCAGCAAGTGTCCACTGGGTTACTAAATCCAGATAATTCCTGACTCGTCCAGGTGAGTATCGATTAGGACGAGATGTCTGTCCTAGATTCAACTACTAACTAAGATTTATCTACTAAAAACTTTATGACAAAATATCAAGGTAATTTACTCACCAAGCAAAAATCCCGAAGGATACTTATCAAAATGCATTGCAGAATAGTAACGAAATAATATATATATATATATATATATATATATATATATATATATATATATATATATATATATATATATATATATATATATCATGGTAAATTAGGCTTATCAGTGTTTCATGATTGATCCCTTGAGAATGAAAGCTATTTCTTGATCAATCACATGAACTTGATATATATACAGCTGAATACATATACATGTGATTCGATTTAGTCAGATAAACTCCCTTCCTTACTCTCCATATTTCCTCTCGAGTATCTTGGTTTGTGTTTTAAAGGGCAAGCATCAATATCAATACATGAAAACTGTGTGTCGAAACGGATCACTTATTAGTAAGTGATCAAATGTAAATATCTCATTTATACCTGAGGTCAATAACAGCTCGAGTGATTCAGTGACAAAGTCTCTAACTGTGAAGATGAGTTGTGGAGGTTTGAACCTCATAAGAAGCATTAGTTTCCTCTAGACTTCATGTATGTCTTACTGACGAATATCAACGCAGCGTGAAATTTATTACCATAGCTCCCTACTAACTATCTTCAAACCCCCGCAAATCACCATATCAACCTGCCAGCATCACACTATTCAGGTTATAATATAAATAGATAGTAAATTTCACATACCGTCGTGGTTCTTTAGTGGATTTCATCGGATATGCTATAATCCGCCAATTAAACGGATTAATTCACCTATTTTGCAATAGTTTAAATATCACAATACAGTTTGTTATTTAATATTTGTTTTAAATAAACAATCATGGATGTTAACCGAATATGCTCGCAAGCTTTTCATAAAATGATTACAGTGAGGTGAATTACTTACTGCTAAATTTAAGTTAAACCTTTTTAAGCCTGCTATCGATGAATGGCATCTATACAATACTGAATATTTACAAATTAACTGGACACAAGGTACGGAATATTGTTGCAATCGTGTATATTTTAGCCAGTTAATGTGTTTTTTTCTCAAATCATTATCAAACACATAATATAGAACATAGCCAATACTACTATGGAATAAAAAAATAACACCTACCACCACTGAAACTTTTAACAATCAATTGATTTTAATGATTAGAGAGCAATATCAGAACTAAGAATAATTATTTTTCACAATAGTTTATAAATAATAATAATATTAATAATAATGATAATGACCGTTATTTTATACCCGATTTTTATCGACATATTCGATTAGCTATCAGTAGAATGACTAATATATGACAAAAAGAGGGTAATCACTATTTTATTAAAATGGTTTCGAAAGGTTTGTCAGTCAATATCATAAAGTGTTTTATCATAACGAAGATACATACTTACTAACAGATCAATAGTAGCAATAATTTGTACAAATTTATATATATATATATATATATATATATATATATATATATATATATATATATATATATATATATATATATATGAGAATACTAAACAATACTTTTAACATTAAAACTATAAATGTATGTTTTATAATTTGTGTACACTTATTAAATGTTTACAATTAATTCACATTTTATCAAACAGGTTAAAAAGATGCACTGAATGCTGGAAATGACCTAAAAAGCGAATAGAAAGATAGTTAATACTATTAAAAAAAAACAATACAGGGTATCGCTAATTATTTTGTTCTGCAATTCATCGATATAAACAAATCGACTAATTAGGTCATCAAAAAAGAAAATGAACAAATTAAAACATGAAGAAAATAAAATAAAACTAACTGTACTAATTGTAAGAATGTCTAGAATTGTAGAAAATTAAGAACATTATATAAATGAAGATAAGGAGACTTATAGGTGAAAATCAATAAACTTGTGTATACTTCTAACATTATCAATAATAATCATCAGTAAAATACATTAAATATATGAGTATTGAATACATGTACAAATATTTTGTACTACTGATTAGAGTTGGTTAATGTCAAACAGTGGAATTAGGGACACTCTATTCGTGCTATTTGGGACATGTTAGCTGAATATACTAGTATCCTAGTGTTGATAGACACAGTGAAAGCAATTGTGTAAACAATTTCGTTACCAAGTTCAGATAACCAGAGACTTTTGCTATGAGGTGAATTAAAATTATTTTCATTTGTTTGAATCTTCTCAACCGATCAACTGGAGTCTTTGTCATCAACTAGAAGATTCACACAACCTTTACAAATAAGCTATTCTATGTTACTCTTTTATCTCTCTGTTTGCTAATAGAGATTGAAATAGATAACAATGTAGGATAAAAATAAACAAGAGATTATCAAAAAGGTGATATCAAATAGATTGTATCGTATTGCTGACTTTTAGAACACATACACGTAATACTGTGGAACATTTCACTTTTGAAAATAAGCTTTATTCACATTAACTAAATACAAATAGATGCATAGTTTATTAGAAATTATAAAATATCAACATAATAATCAAAGTATTTGTGATTACAGTAAAGTTTCCAGTGATACAATGATTTAAATATAATTTCTACATATCAATTATAACTGAATAAATAACATTACAAGTTTATTTAACTCTTAAAGAATACTAACAGCAAAACTTCACATTCTTCCAGATTTTTAATGGTAGTCTAGCTTAGATTGACTCGTGAACCCAACTGTGAAAATACTATAATCTCCACATATCCCTATACTGATGATAATCAGATGTTATAAGTCTTAAACATAGAACAATATTTTCTAAGTGAAAAGAAACCTGTTTCAGTTTCTTTTTTACATTTTATTGTTATCAAATACTGCTATATCAAACATTGTAGTTGATAATTTCCTGTACGCATCTCTACAGATTGATACTTAACCCTATTATATACATTTGAGCTATCAAATGATTTCATACCCTTGAAAGTTTGATATATTTCTCTCCAGTTTAAGTTGTACTGCCCAAAACCATTTGAAATCAAATGAATTTGAACCTGAACTCTGTTTTTGGAATAATTTACTCTTAACAACAACGTTGATTATCCAATGAAATATGTAGTAGCACTAAAACAAAGTTCGTCAAATGATAAACGCTATTTATCAAATAATTATTTGTAAAATGGTTATAGAAAAATGATTTATTTATTGACCAATTATTTTACCTAACCATTAAAACAAATTTAGGTGTAATCAAAAGAAATTATTCAATAGAATAATGAATGTTTAATAAGGAGTAAGTAATTTCTATATCACTATTTATAGAACAGCTAAGCAATTACCAATTGAAGAACAAATGGTACTCTAAACAACGGTCAACCAATACCAAGAAAGTGCGAATCTTCAGTAGGAACATCAAGACAGTTCTACTATACGGAGCTGAAACTTGGTGAACTACTAAAACCATGATCAAAAGTGTACAAGTACTTATAAACAATGGTCTACACAAGATACTCAATGTCTGTTGGCCGGATAACATCGGCAACAGCCTACTGCGGGATAGGATAGACCAGCTTCCAGTTGAAGAGGAAATAAGGAAAAGACATTGGAAGTGAATAGGATATATGTTGAGGAAATCATCAAACTATCACGAGGCAAGCCCTAACTCGAAATCCTGAAGAAAAATAGAAAATAGGAAGACCAAAGAACACACTGCCACGAGAATGGAAAGCAAATATGAAAAGGATGAATAGCAACTGGAAATGATTGCTTAGGACAGAGTTCAATGAAGAATGCTGGTCAGCGGCCTATACTCTTCGACGAGGGCTAACAGGCATAAGTAAGCAATCACCATAAATATATTTTGGTAATTAATAGATATGTTAAGTCAGTATTTTAAAGTTAACAATGTAGATTTTGATATTATTTTTTTCTAAAAATCACCAAATTACCAATATTCAACTTAGTTGTAATTAAACAACTATCTAAATTAAACCAGGAGATGAGTAATTCGAAAACACAGACCTACTGTTAGAACCTTATACACCATAATAAATAATTCACTATTCTACTAAATAAAAACTGTATTGTCGTAATTTAATAAGATGATAGAATAAAATTTCTACAAAACAGGACACGAAACACTTGTAGAAACTCATATCCTGTGTAACATTTAAATGGTCCGTCATGTTAGACTGACTGAATTTGATTTCGTGAGCTCATGATTAGATATGACCTCATCTATCTATTTCTCTCAATAATCACTTGCTAGGTCAATTAAATTTGTATATAATTGCATGATAATTGACCAGCACACAGTATACTCATATCAATCTATAAATGTTATAAAGAGA